TACCTTCTTTTAAAACATACTAGTTATTTATTCTTTTATAGGTGAAGTAATATGCATGGAGTGCCAAAAAGTATACGATCTGCCAAGAGATTTGCAGAGGCACAAAAAGCTGGTTCATGGCACTGAACCGTCAATACAGTGTCCTTGGTGCAAGAAACCCAAACATTTATTAAGATGCCAAATAGTCCAGCATTTCAAACTGAAGCACAACAATCCATACCTCAAATATTTTCCCCGTAAGCGAGTGATGCGCTCTCTCCAATTATACGAATGTAATTATTGCTATCAAGACTTCGCTTCCATGCCTGAATTGGTTGAACATATAAAAAATCATACATTTGACTGCCCTGTATGTTCAGTACGTTTCTCAAAAAAGACAACCTGTATGGCCCACATTAGAAGGATTCACAAATACACGGCTGATATTTTGAAACCAAGTTTGGGTGGAACTGTTGAAATGGAGAAGCCATATAAATGCACAAATTGTTCAGCAGAATTCAGTTTCGAAAGAAATTTTCATGCGCATCTTACGAACGAGCATCATGACCAAAACAAAGAATCGGAAAATGGAAGAGAATCCCCTTCTGATTTAAAAATAAGTAGCATGCGCTTTAAAAGAGGAGCCACCAAAGAAACGACTGATAAATATGAAAACCGGGTGAATATTGCTACTACATCTTCAAATTGTGGTAGTTCTGCGAAGGATTCAGAAAGTGATAGTGACTGCAGCGAACAGGATGCAATAACCAAAAATAAAAGAACATACCTTTGTTCTTATTGCCGTAAGTTGAAACCTACAAATTTGTTCATTTTCTCCATGGGTATCATTTTTTTTTTTTTTTTTTACATTTTACCGAAACGGTGTTTTTTTTCAAGTGCTCTTAATATTTATAGGTCGATTATGGATAGCAACTGAACTTCAGTTGCGTGGCCAATGGCAACTGAGTTATTATATTGGCAACTGAAATTTGGTGGTTACCGCGGAGGTCTTGAGTTATTTATTTTTTCAACTGTTTAATTACACTCAAATCTTGGTTACCGGTACTTTAAAATTCTCTTATCTCCAAATATTTTTGGCACGAACGTATGACGTAAAAACCCATCTTTATAAATACAGTTTAAAACGCTTTTGCTTTGTTGCTGCTACAGTTCTTTCTGAACGATTTTTTTCTGGTGCAGGGAAAATATTAAACTGGCGTAGAACAAGCTCTCTAATTTAATGTTTTTGCACAGCAATACATTTGTAAGTGTTTACATATCGTACATGCATACAGCCTTGGCCAAAACTATTAGGCACACCAATGATTTAAAATTTGTTTGTTTGTTTATTCAATGTTTAATGTTTTCTATAAAAGTCTAGCTCACTGTCTAACAAAGAACATATAAATCCAAACTCCAAACGTTGTGCAGAAAATATAAAAATTCTGGAAACCTTCACCAAAATTTCAAACTCTTTATTCAGGATCTTTAGAAAAAAATGTGTATGCAGTTTTGTAGCCCATTAAATTTTAGTATAATAAAGTGCAAGTTTCAAGTTACTTCCATTGGTTTTTAATAATTTTTTTCGCAGACGTGTTGTGCATATTCCTCCACAGAAAAAAATCGAACATACTTTTTATGAAAGAAAATGCGTGACAGCGTCAGCGAAAAAAATCGTAAAGAATTAACGGGATTTTTTAGCAACCTCGAAACTTGTACTTTATTATACTAAAGTTTAATGAGCTACAAAACTGCATACCAATTTCTTTTTCTAAAGATTCTGATTAAAAAGTTTGGAGTTAAGTGAAAGTTCGCAGAATTTTTGTATTTTCCGCACAAAGTTTGGATTTTGGATTGATATGTTCTTTGTTAGACAGTGAGCTAGGCTTTTATAAAAAAATATTAAACATAAAATAAACAAAAACAATTTTAAATCATCATATTGTAACAAACTCTCTTTGGCCGGGGTAGGACTCAGTCGGACCCAG